CTACTACTACTACTACTACTACTACTACTACTACTACTACTACTACTACATACTACTACTACTACTACTACTACTACTACTACTACTACTACTACTACTACTACTACTACTACTACTACTACTACTACTACTACTACTACTACTACTACTACTACTACTACTACTACTACTACTACTACTACTACTACTACTACTACTACTACTACTACTACTACTACTACTACTACTACTACTACTACTTCTCGTCGTCCCTAGCGCCCTAGGGCTAGCACTCCCTAGCGCCAGTACTTTCTAGGGCTAGCACTCCCTAGCGACAGTACTTCCTGGCACTCCTTCGGACTAGCACTCCCTAGGAGTAGTATTCCATAGGGCTGGTACTCCGTAGTGCGAGTACTCCCTAGGACGAGTACTCCCTTGCACGAGTACGCCCTAGGGGTAGTAATTCCTAGGTCTGGTACTCCCTGGGGCTAGCACTCCCTGCGACTAGTACTCCGTAGGTCTAGTATTCCCTATGGACGATCTTACCTAACACCAACACTACAGCACCATAGTACTACCACACTACAGCACTAATACCACAATACCAGTACCACAACACCACAACACCGCTACCACAACACCACTACACCGCTACCACAATAGCACAACCACAACACCGCTACCACAACACCACTACCACAGCACCACTGCCACTACCACAACACTACTACCTACTAACAACTCAACAACACTACCAACACCACACCACTAACACAACACTACCAACACCACACCACTAACACAGCACACCACTACCAACACCACACCACTAACACAGCATACAGCACAACCGGCCACTACCAACACACCACTAACACAACATTACCAACACCACACCACTAACACAGCACAGCGACTACCACACCACTAACACAGCACTACTACCACGTTGGTTCCAGGTGGGAGTTACTGTGGCCACTTTTGCCTGCGCGGGAGTGCATTCCCTGAAGGGTTGCGAATCTCTCCAGATCTAACATGAGATACCTTTACATATTACTTTTCATTGAGCGGCCTGCGCGGGCCACAGTAACTCCCATCCCACCGCGCGACGAGCCACACTAACACCCAACGGGCCACACTAACACCCAACGGGCCACAATAACAACCGGTCGCTCCCGGCCCTCCCCCCACCCCCCAACCTCGGACAGCCCAAGACACGGAAAGGGTCGAGAGCCCCAGCTGGGTGCTCGTGGCACCCGCGCAACAACAAGGAGAGACACCGTAGGATCCGCGGGGCCCGAAGCCAAGCCCGTAGACCGGGTACGCCGGCTCCCGGTGATCAGGCGGCAGCCGGCCTCACGCTACCGGACGTACGGGGGAGGACTCCTATAGGAATCCGAACCGCCCCCGCACATACATGGCAGCGAGCTGTGCCCTCCCGCCCCACGCGAGTTTCGAGCCGACCCAAAGCGGTGTGAAAAAAAAAACGAATGTCGCAGAAAGGACTCCCTAAGCCGGGGAGGCAGGTCCACACCGCAAACACGCGCAAGGCCACACGGGGCGACGAGAGGGGTCGCCCGGGCCGAGGGGAACCCAGACGCCCCCCCGCCGTGGGGTTGGCCGCCCCCGGGGCGCCGACCCAAAACCACGCGTTCTCTGCCGCCAGCCCCCCCGAGCGCCCCAGGGACGTCGCCCGCGGCCCAGCCGGGTGGCTTGGGCACATTTGGGCCTATGGTGGCGCCAAACCAGCACAACGCTGCACCCCAGGCGCAGGAGGATTGCTCCCGTCCGACTCGGCGGTCTATGGACGTGCCGGTGTGGTTGGCGGCCACACCCGGCACCGCGGCCCCGGGAGCAGGGCGTGGGCCGGTGAGAACTACGGGCGCGCCCCCCGACACCCTAGCAAAGGCTGGACGTGGCATTTGTTCCGAGGATCCAAAACACTGCATGGAGCAACCCAGACGCGAGACCCGAGACCCTGCACGCACCAACCCAGCACTCATGCCACGCCGCGCAAACAAGCAAGCACATAAGTACACGCCAGGCACATGCAACACACAAGCGCTCGCACGCGCGCGCAAAAAACTATCAACCCTTACGTTGCCAATATCAACCCTTATGTTGCCAATATTCGTAGTTCCGCCGTGCCTCATCATCATCATCATCAGCATCATCATCAATATCATCAGCAGTATCATCAGCATCATCAGTATCATCAGCATCATCATCAATATCATCATCAGCTTCTTCATCGTCATCATCATCATCATCATCATCATCATCATCATCAATATGATCACCAGCGTCATCATCATCAGCATCATCATCATCAGCATAATAATAATAATAATGATAATAATCATCATCATCATCGTCATCATCGTCATCATCATCATCATCATCAGCATCATCATTGTCATCATCATCATCATCATCATCAGCATCATCAGCAGCATCATCATCAGCATCATCATCAATATCATCATCCACGTCATCATCGTCATCATCATCAACATCATCATCAGCGGCATCATCCTCATCATCAGCATACTGATCATCATCATCATCGTCATCATCATCATCATCGGCATCATCATCATCATCATCACCATCATCAGTGTCATCATCATCATCATCGTCATCATCATCAACATCATCAACAACGTAATCATCATCATGGCATCATCAGCATCAGCATCAGCATCAGCATCGTCATCATCAGCATCATCACCATCATCATCTTCATCATCGTCGCCATCATCATCAGTAGCACCGCCACCACGATTGGAATCATCATCAGCATCAGCATCACCATCACCATCACTATCAGCATCATCATGATCATCACCATTACCATCACCATCACGGCCACTATCACCACCACCATAATCATCACCATCATCATCATCAGCATGACATCACCATCGTCATCAGCATTTGTATCAGCATCAGCCTCATTCCTGTCCCACATACTCACCCTCTTCATCCTCGTAGTTCTCCTCATCCTGCCCCCCCCCCCCCCCCCGGGGCTGCATCCTCAGTATTCAAACTGGCCTGCTCCTCCTGCTGCAGCCTGCTATCCCTGCTACTGGTGTGCGTCGTCATCCCCTCGGCTCTATGCCCATCTTAAACACGCATCCTGATCAAAGAGTTCCTCCCGTATCCTGCTGCTCCTATTCTTCCTCCCTTATCGTCAGCACAGGCCCCGTTCCTGCTCATGCTCATGGCCATCTCCGCAGCTTGCCGTTTCATGCTCATCCTCTGTACAGCTCCACCTCTCCATCTCTCTCTCTCTCTCGCTCGCTCGCTCGCTCGCTCGCTGGCTCACACGCGCTCTCTCTCTCTCTCTCTCTTTCTCTTTCTCTTCCTCATGATTTCTCTCAACATAGTTCTCTCTATCCTTCTCTCTCTCTCTCTCTGTATACACATACACGCCGATCGTGTATATATATATATATATACACACACGCGTATGGGCGTCGCTCTCGCTCTCTGACATCCCTTATCTAAAAGGGCTTGTACGGCTTGATGTGAATATATGTATGTGTATCCTCTCGTCAAACCATGTCGTAGCATTTACTTCGCTACTGGCTCCTGTATCTCTCTCTCTCTCTCTCCCTATCTCTCCCTCTCGCTCTCGCTCTCTCTCTCTCTCGCTCTCTCTCTCTCTCTCTCTCTCTCTCTCTCTCTCTCTCCCCGACAAATATGTATGTATATACATTATAATATATATATATATATATATATATATATATATATATATAATATATATTTCTGTCTTTCGCTCGCTCGCTCGCTCGCTCGCTCTCTCTCTCTCTCTCTCTCTCTCTCTCTATATCCCGCTCTCTCGCTCTCTCATTCTCTCTTTCTCTCTCGCTCTCTCTCTCTCTCTCTCTCTTGTTCTCTCCCTCTCTCTCCCCCTTCTATCTCTTAATAGCTCCCTTACTCGGTATACCTATATTGAATCATATGTATAGACCTACATGAATATCATGAAGGACTTGGTATACAGATTTCTACCTATACAATCATACGCACCTCCCCGAACGAGTATGAGCGCAGAGGAGATTTGTTGAAGCAGCCCCGTCTGCGATTGATTGGGCCACTCGCTCGGGAGATTCTCCAATTTCTGGAAATTGGACGCACCCGTCACGCAGATCGCGGCGTCACAATCCCAAAAACACAGAGGGCTCAATGACTTGGGACGTCGCTCTTAGAACAGCCGCTGCGCGTGGGACATCCAAACAAAATGATACCCGACGTATCCAAAGTTGTCCTAATACTCTTCGAAGCGACACTTTCGCTCGAGACATCCTCCGAAAAACAGGTTCCGGAGCATCTTTCCACCTGCAATCGCAAGGTGTCAAACACCTTCCTGTACCACACACACGCTCACACACATCGCAAGGTGTGGCAACCCCACCTGCCTTCGACTGCGACTCCGCTTTTGCGCCTCCTGGCCAGCAGCCCCCTGGTGATGCTCATTATCCTCCTCTTTCCGTTTCCCTCTGCTTCTCCATCTCCTTCTTCTTCATCCTCCTCCTCCTCCTTCTCCTTCTCCTCCTCCTCCTCGGATCCGATGTCATATTCCTTACTGTAGTTGTTTTGCTGTGACCCTTGGCACGCGTATGCCACGTGATTACAAGTGCTGATTTCGATATAGTGATAGAGCATCGGGCACCCCAGGCGGAGCGCACACGGACCACACACGGACCCCCCCTGGCTATAGCGAAGGTCGGCCTCCCCTTGCTTCCTGGACGCAACGTTTAGGTCGGGCATGTCCCCCACAGGCGAATCTTGGAGTAAAAATAAAGAATGTTCAAATATATTGAAAAATACCGGAAAATCGTCGAAAAATTGTCCACCTACTATTTTGTGGTTATTCTTGAGCAGTCCTCCTGTAGAGGGACACGCCCGAATGAACGCAACGTGCCAGGCGTTCCCTCGGCCGTCTGGCCCTCCCGAACCTCCCCGGAGGCCCTTGGAAGCAGGCCCGGGGCGGCCAGGGCAGGACGCTGGCCGATAACGGCCCCGCGAGGGTCCCCCGAGCGGCCCAGGACACGCACCATCGACGTGAGGAAGGCGACGCACATGACGCCCCCAAGGGCGGAGGTGGTCATCATCCAGAAACCTCTTCCAGAAACCTCTTCCTCATCCAGAAACCAGAAACCTCATCCAGAAACCTCTTCCTCTTCCTCATCCACAAACCTCTTCCTGGCGAGCGCATTCGTTCCTCATCCAGAAACCTCCTCCTTTCCGGGAGGGTTGCCTCCCCACGTCCTCCCTGCGGCTTTTCGGGGCGGGCCGCGAATCGTTAGAGCGTCCAAAATGGCCCAAGATGGCTCCAAGATGGCTCCAAGACGGCCTCCGATACTCAAGATGGCCTCCAAGATGCCCCAAGATGGCCGACGGTGGTTATAGACAGCTTCCAATATGCATCTATAAAAGGCCAGACGAGGGCCACAAGACGAATCCAAGTACTCTCGAGCCGACGCTCCAAGGGGCCAATTCCTGGAAAAATCGATAGAGTAGCAATGATGTGCATTCTCGCAGTTTCGCTTCCGATGCGCTTTTGAGGCCTCAAGATGGCCCCAAGATGGCCAGAGAGAGGCCCAAGAGGAACCCAAGAGGCCCCCCAGACGGCCCAAGAGCGCCCCAAGGGATCTTCAGGATGGCCCCAGGGGGGGGGAGAGGGGGCACATTGGGACCGCCCCCCTTTTGATCGACGGCCTCCAGGGTGGCCCCAAGAGGCCCTCCAGGACCCCCAAGGGACCCCCAAGAGGGCTCCAAGAGGCTCCAATAGGCGATGGCGATGTTGAGCCCTCTGTCTTCGTCTTCATTGTCCTCATGCACCTCATCCTGCATCTCGACCGTGGCCTTTTGCTGCCCGCCCCAAGCTCCATGGCAACGGAGCCCGCAGGCCGCAGCATGGCAAACCAGGGCGGGACCGCCGCTCGCGCATGAGAGGCAAAATGGACACGCGATCAAAGTCCGCAGTCACTGGCCAGCTCCAACACGCGACATTCAGCTGCACACGCGGGAAAATGTTCCAATTATCGTTCGACCCCATGACTTACTTCGTCAAAACAATCACAGACACGGTAGAAGGAGTGCGGGACCATGATGCGACCTGGTTCTCGATGTGTCTGCTCGATATATGCGCATATCAACTGTGGAAATGGCATCCAATTCACTTCATCTTCGACCTGACAAAATCAGCAAAGAGAAAGCATGATGGCCGCGAAAACCAAGAACCGGGTCTGAAACCGAACTGGCCAACCAAACCGGCCTGCCAAACCGAACCGGCCAAACCGAATCGGCCCGCGGTGCGAACCGACCCCGCCGAACCGAGCCGGCCGAACCGAACCAACCGAACCGAATTGACCAACCAGGCGAACCGAACCGGCCGAACCGAACCGGCGGAACCGAACCCGACGAACCGAACAGGGTGGCCGCCCACTTCAAGCCTGGCCCCCTGGATCCCCAGGGCCCTCAGGACCCTCAGGACCCTCGGGGCCCTCAGAAGCCCGCGCCCCCAGGACCCCGAACCGCTTGGATCCCCCGAGACCCCAAAGACCACCGAGGACCCCGCCCCAGGACCCTCCAGGACACCCCAGGACACCCCCGAACCCCATGACGATGACGAAGGACGACCACGATGATGACGGTTACGATGCGATTACAATGAGCATGGCGATGATACTCCAACCACGGCAACGGAGCAGCAACGCTGATAACATTGCGAGCTCTCCCCCCGCCCCTTGATCGAGCGGAAGAGCAGCGCCTGGATTGGCGCGCTTGCCGTTGAAGCTTAAAACGCGTGAACACGTTTGATGGCGCAGCGCGCGCAAGCAATTGACCAGGGCCACAACGTGAAAGCATGAGACTACAAGAACACTAGAGCACCTGCTCGCGAATCGCCCCTTCGGCCGTCCGCGATGACCCCATCGGGCAGGCGAATATCTATGTATGCACCACAGGCCATACGTTTTGTTTCCGCTGAAGCGTGCATCTCCTGGCCTGAAACCGAAGCGCAAAGCCCAACGCGCGGCAAGACAAAGAGGAGGATGCCAAGACTGATACTGATGAAGAGGAAGACAAATCCAATGATGATGATGACGAGAATGATGACGATGATGACGATGATGATGATGATGATGATGATGATGATGATGATGATGATGATGACGGTGATGGTGATGATGATGGTGGTGGTGATGGCGATGATATACACATATATATATACATATAGACACACATAGTATGATGCTGATGCTCCCTGGGAGACCCCACGGAAGAGCTTTTCGGGAATCCCACCCTAATCCTCAGATGCCCCTCGGAGCACCCTCGGGGCTTCAACGAAACCTTCGGAGGCCCCTCGGACTGCGAAGCAATGCGAAGCAATGCCAATCGATATGAAGCGATGCCAAGCAATGCGAAACAATACCAAACAATGCCAAACAATGCCTAGCAACGAGAAGCAATGCCAAGGAACGCTATGCCATGCCAAGCAATGCCAAGCTATAACGAAGCAAAGCCAAGATATGCCAAACAATGCCAAGCAATGCCGAGCAATGCCAAACGATGCCGAACAACGCGGCGCAGGAGGGCGCCAATGCCAAGCAGCGCCGCCCCCCCCCCCCCAACAGAGCCCGCTAATAGAGCCCAGGAAAGCGCACGGAGGGCCGCCGCACCTTCTGGAGGCAGTTGGCCCCCAGAGGCTCGGGGGGCGAGGAAAAAGGATTGCTCGGGCCTCGAAGAACCTCTATATTGTCTGTGATTGCTGTGCCAAACGGCTCTGTCGCTTATCTGCAGCTCGATGTTAGTTAATAAGATCACTACCGTCTCTTAAAAAATTGGCAGAGTCCGAATAGTTGTTCGGGTCCAGATCTGGTAGCAGAGCGAGTTCAGGCATCTAGATACTTGCAACTAACGTTTTGTTTCATAATTATCTTCTGAATGCTGTGTCGAACATCTCTAGAGCATTCTCATCCTTTTAAAACTAGAAGATACGAATAGGCTGTTGGTCCTAGCTCCCGTAGCAGACCAAGTTCGGACATCTAGGTACTTGAGACTAGCGCGCGTGACGATTCTATATAGACTAGGTGTGCCTGTCAGCTCTGTAGCGGTTCTACAGCTCGAGCTGAGACCAGAAAACCGACGGCACCTGCAACAGTAATATGTACCCGATCGATCTGAGATTGAAATGGCGACCGGGAATAAGATCGAATATGGGGGAAAATATTAGAGCTCTAAAGAAATTTCAAATTTCGAGAACAAAATTTTCAACCAGCCAAAATTATGCAAAACATCCGTCGAGATTTCTCAGGCCAACTAGCCCCCAAGCGCGCGGGACTTACTCTCTGGGATCGCCGCTTCGCTCTTAGGGACGCTCTACGAGTCACTTTGACCACGAAACGCACCATGATCGACTACAGGGACTATATATATATATATATATATATATATATATATATATTACAAAAAATGTCAACTTTCTCACAATCTTCAAAAAACCGCCCCCAGGTTGTCACATTATCCACCCAGGCCGGGTTTGCCAACTGGGAGCCGGCGGTAAACCGTCAACCAGGTTTTTTTGCGGTTTGCGGTCCGACCACGAGGCCCTACAAGGACGGTCGGGTTGGTGCAGGGACCCTCGTAGAGCTCTTTGCACGCATGGCGCTGCTCAGAACACAAGAAGGAAGCTTTCTTCAGCATCAACTTGAAAATTCGAAAATTGAATTTTGTCATGTCAACATTCAGTCGGTTCCTCCTAGTGTTTCGATCGAAATACTGCACCTAGAGCCCTGAGAACTGCACCATGAAACGCGCCATGATCGACTGCAGGGAATGAATCTGGGTTCCCAAAAAGTATTTTCAGATCTGGCACAATCTTCAGAAACCCGACGCCAGGTCACCACATTGTCCGCGCGGGCAGGGCGGGCGAACTAGCTCCACCCCGCGCCGGAATTCCTCTACTTCATCGACGCGGAAGAGCTCTACCAGGTACTAGCTTCACCCCGCGCGGGAATTCCTCTAGCTCATCGACTCGAAGACGGCGGTAAACCGTCAACCAGGTTACCCCCGGGACCTTCGTAGAGCTCTTGACACGCGAAGTAGTGCTCAGCCTACGACGAGAAGCTCGCTTAGATATCTGCTGCAAACATTCTACATACACATATATTTATACATATATATATATAATATGTGTATAGAAACATATATATATATATATATATATATTCTCGGTGTTATACGAATTTGGCCCCACCAAGTATGATAATATTAATATTACGACTAAAGCTACGGATCTGAGAATTCAACAGGCTGCGCGTCATAACCAACCACAGCTGCGAAAAACACTGGGGCTGTGCATCTCGCTTTCTGATTGGAGTAAATTCACGAAACCATTATCATCTGGAAGAATGCGCCCCGACGGCCGACGGTTGCATCTAATTTTCGAGAGCTCTGCTGCAGCTACAGCCCAAGAATTGCACCATGGAACGCGCACTAATCGACTGCAGGGAATAAAAATCTGGGTTCTGAAAACGAATGTTCAAATCTCTCAAAATCTCCCCAAACCCGACCCGAGGTCATCATATTGTCCGTTCGGGCTGGGTCGGCGAACTAGCTCCACCCCGTGCCGAAATTCCCCTTGCCCACCGATGCCGAGCCGGCGGTAACGGGTCAACCAAGTGACCGCTGGAAGCCTCGCAGAGCTCTTTACACGCAAATAAGTGCTTATACGACGAGGAAAAAGCGTTCGTCAAAATCAGACTACTCCGAAAATATATTTCTCTCGTCTTCCATGGCGTCGATTGCTCCAAGTGTTTGGGAAGTAATACTGAATCTACAGGCCGGAGAATGTCACTGGCAGACGCGGCACGCGGAAATACCGGTTCTCATGACGAAGTCTCTTGCGATCTTCAAAAAAGTGGGAACCGGTGGTAAACCGTCAACCTTGGCTACCGCCCGGAACTCGCAGAGCTTCCTTGCGATATACATGAATGGGATGCGGGCGCGGAAATCTCGCATTCCGCGCGCGCGAGGGCGCGGCTTCATGGAGGGGGACGCGAAGGAGAAGAAGGAGTGAGGGGGAGAAGGAGATGGAGGAGGCTGAGGAAGAGAAGGAGGAGGAGAAGGAGCAGGAGGAGGAAAAGGAGGGGGGGAAGAAGAGAAAGGATGACGAGCGGGAAGGGGAAGGGTAGAAGGGGGAGAGAAGGGACGATGATCAGATGAGGAAGAGGAGGAGGCTGAGGAGGAGGGGGAAGAAGGAGGAGAAGAAAGAGGAGAAGGAGCAGCTGAGGGAGGTAGAGAAGGAGGGGGAGGGGGAAGAAGAGGAGGAGGAGCAGGAGGAAGAGGAGGACGGGAGACGAGGAAGAAGAAGAAGAAGGAGGCGGAGGGAGAGGGGAAGCGGGGGGAGGAAGAGGAGAAGGCGGAGGCGAAGGAGGAGGAGGAGGAGAACGAGGAGGGCAGCAGGAGGAGATGGAGGAGGAAGAGGGGCAGCCTACACCTCGAATTCATTACAGAAAACACATATTATCTCTCACTAAATACTGCAGAATGCTCAATTGTAGCTCTGGTGGGAGACCAATCTCAGACATCTCGATACTATAGCCGACGGCCTGATGATTTCCTGTTGAGCGGTTTGCTTTCCAGCCCCCTAGCTTGCCTATAAGTTAAATACCGAAACCCAACACCGTCTCGCATATTTCTAAAAGAATGCAAATGAATATGGCTGCAACTCTGGTAGCGTCTAGCCTGTAGACTGACTGATGCTTCGCAGCATTCCCTGTCGGTTGGCGTGCATCTCAGCTCCGTAGCTGGCCTAGAGCTCGAATTTGATTCAGGAAAGGCACGTCATGCCTGGTAGAATATTTACATTGCGAAAAAATGTGTCCAGTCGTAGCTGTGGTTGCAGGCCAAATTCAGACGCCCCGACATCGTAGGCGAAT